TGTGTGTGTGTGTGTGTGTGTGTGTGTGTGTGTGTGTGTGTGTGTGTGTATACGCACAAACACAGCGTCACTCTCATGATCAAACAGATACCTCTCAACCAACCATTTCCCCTCCCGAAACAGAAACACAAACGGCAACAAGCAGGAAGTCAGTAACAGTTGTTAATATTGGCCCAATTTTACTTATCGGACCGATGTGCTAAAAAATGATGAACGCCGACCGAAACKGACGTTAATGTAGATTTATCATGCATCCCTAAAAAAAAGAAAGGGAAAAGAAAAAGGAAATACCTATATCAGTTACACTAATCTTCACATATTTTTGCAATTTTTATACTTTTTAAAACATGTAACTTTGTGTCTTCCTCAAATATCTTAAGATTTCTTCAATTTCTTCCACAGCGTACTTGCTTTATTTTTGTCTTCTTGTGCTTCTTTAGGTTTTAAATACTGTTCATTTTTAGCTTTTAAATAGCCTTTCCTACTTTTAGCTTCACGCCAGCCTGTTGGCATTTTCTACAATTACCTGCTTTTTGTTCCTTTTACCATTTCACTGTATTTATAAAGTACTTAAAAGAAACTAAGGCGATCAAAGTACTGAACAATATAACACACAATACAACAAAACGACTTAAATCTACATAAGTAAAACTAAGAAAATGATATAAAAATATACAACCTAGTCAACATTACAACTTTAGCTTTTAGCAATTGTTTTGCCTCTTTAGCTTTAAAGACTCAGTTCAGCTTCTTCAGCTAAATTCATCGAATTCTCGGCCTCAGTTAAAATGTTGAAATGTGACTTTAACAGGAGGAAAAACAGTCTTTCTGTGTGTTTGATGTGTGCCGACTCACCGGACTCCCGCGTCCTGCCTCTGACCGGGTGGCTCCAGGGTCCCGTCCCGATGCCGTTGACAGCCTGGACCCTGACCTCGTACTCGGTCCACTCCTCCAGGTCCTCGATGGTGAATTCTCTCTCCAGGCGGTCGGCGATAACGTGGGTCAGCCCGCGGCCCTGTGAGCCCACACGGTAGTACTGAACCCTGTAGCCCACCTGCTCAGCGTTCCCGTTGTATTCCCACTCAGGCAGAGGCTGCGCATGTAAAAAAAAAAAAATTAAAAATCAAAGCTTGGATCAATAGGAGCCAGAGCCTTCTGACTCCAGAACAAWGTATTGCCAGATGGTTGGGAACCATTCTTACCATCCATCTTAACCAGAGGCTGGTTTCGCTGGCGGTGCGGAGGGTGACGTTGGCGGGTGCCATGTCAGGAGGAGCTGGTAGGGTCTGGATCTTCCTGGAAGGCTGGCTGGGTGGACTGGTGCCGACTATGTTGACTTGACGCATCCGAAATCTAAAATTTTTGGACATGATGAATGATTATAAAACAACTTTTTGACAGCGCCTTACAGCAGTCCTGTAGTGTCTGTCGAAAAAGCTTCTTGCATTGAAACACGATCAGAGCAGATGGAAATAAACACATTATAAACATGCTGAGCACAGACTTGTCTGTGTTACAGCCTCAGTATAAAACAGTTATTTTGCATTGAACTGTAGTGAAAAGAGGCTGCAACGATGTTGGGATGAGGAGAACTGGACTTGTTGTAGGACTTCAGGGATCGGCTCACAGAATCTGATGATTTAATGTGAAACTAAACAGACGGTATAAAGAACAGATCTTACACGAGCTGAAAAATCATTTTAAAGGGATCCATGATTAGTTGTAACATTAGACTTTATTTATTAAACCTATATTTTAACTGTAAAATAAAGACTGTAAAAATACTGGCTGTTTAGTTTTTATCATTTTTAAACTAAAAGTTTAAAAATATATTACACGGATGGGGCCATTTTATTTACATGTAAAGCATTCTGGGTAAATGTTGACGTGGATAGATCATCGGTGTGAGCGAGCTATATCCACCCTGAAGGTTAATCTTGGACAATATCTGATGATCGACTCTTTTAAATGAAACCAGAGAGCGTTGACAGAGAGGAGAAGGTAGAAATGACTCAGCCTGGAACTGAAAATATGGATGGAGGACAACAGAGCTGCTTCATGGAAGAAGAACCTCAGCTTAGCCTGTTAGCTTTAGCATTAGCATGTAAATAAAATGGCTCCGACTGTGTTAAAATATATTTTTAAAAATTTACAAAACTAAACCTACAGTATTTTTACAGTCTTTATTTTACAGTTAAAATATATGTTTATCAAATAAAGTCTAATGTTACAACTAATCAGGGATCGCTTTAAAAACAAACAAGTTCAGTTGGTAGAGCTGATGCCTCTCAGCAAGAAGGTCGCCGGATCAAACCCCGGCCCGGGGACCTGCCTGGTCTCTCCGGACACTCTGGTTTTCTCCCACAGACCAAAAACATGACTGTCAGGTTAATTAGTAACTCTAAATCGTCCCTAGGTGTGAGTGAGAGAGTGAATGGTTGTTTGTCTCTTTGTGTGGCCCTGTGACCCCGCCCCTCGCACAGTGACAGCTGGATATGGGCACCAGGGACCCCCGTGACCCTGACCGGAGGAAGCGGGGATAGATAATGGATGGATGGAAAACAAAATGAGAATTAGTGCTTTGCTTCGGGACAATTAGCAGAGATACAGATGAACACCTTAATTACTGTTTTTGTCACATGCTGAACAAGCTTAGGAGGAAGAAGGTGCGAACAAGAGCTGCTTTATGCCTAATTACTATTTTGTCACTAAATTAACACATACAGAACACTAAAAAATAATTTTGGTGAGACCACAGATGTCTGCAGAAATTCAAAACCAATTCAAGTTTGAGGGTTTTTCTGTAAACGAGGGGTTTGAATATTACAGCTCTATATAAACAACCCTCTGTTTGCAATCTGAAKGTAAAGATTAACTAAGACAAAGATTAATTACAGTATCGTTCCATTGGTAAATACTCCACAACATTCAGCCAAATCAACAACGCTCTCCAGTAAATAAGAATCAGAGACGTGCAGTGAGCTCCATGTTCAGAACGTTGGATAAAATCGAATAAAAGCACATCTGAAATCGTACATCTGAGTTCATCAGAAAGTGAGATGGAATCAGAAACAGCTGAATGTTACATGGTTCTCAGCTGGTTACCTATAAAAGGTGTACGGGTTGAGGTCAGGCACATCTAAGGAGCGGGCCTCGGGCTCATTGGACACCTGGTGGACAATCATCCAGTCCTCATTTTCTCCCACAAACCCCACCTGCGAGCAAGACAGCAAAGAGCAACGAGTAAGTGATGGTGCAAACCTCTGAGGAAATCAGATCTAGGCTACGTTCACACTGCAGGTAAATCCGACCCAAATCCGATTTTTTTGACCCATCTGACTCATATCCGATTTTTTT